GCTCTGTAAAATAATGACATGAACGCATCCGTTTGTGGACGACCACTTCTACGTGCATCGTATCGAGGACCCGGCCACGGGTGTTAGCATTGACATCTTCAATGTGGAAACCAATGATGCTGATGTTCACGGAGCCCACCTCATCTGCTGTCAGTGTTACGGCTACTCTAACGGTGACAGTAAGGGTTGCAACAGCGTCGTTCGAGGAGACGATTACTGCTGTGGAGGAGATACGGCCATGTATGATGCCTGCTACGATAAGTTCGCAAAGTGGGGACAAAATTCGCGTAAGCAACTAGCAGAGAAGGTGAAGCAGTCGAACGCGACGTGGAAGATTGTCAACAGCCACTATGGACCGTATGACCACTACGCCGAGGCCGGAATGAACAAGTGGTTTGACGTTCTACGGGACTCTGGCATTCAGGCATTCCTCTATGGCCACACTCACGGTGAAAAACACGATTACTCGGAATCCCTGGGTATTCACTTTGTGGAGAATGGTGCTGGGGGTGGTATCCAGAAAGAGTCTGCGAGTGGCCTTCCGCCATTTGCGACCAATTACGTGAAGAATAAGTGGTCGTACACGGGCGATGAGTACGGGTTTTTCTCGTTGGAAGCTTCGAAAGAGTGGCTCAAGCTGCAATACCATACGACTGACAACAAGTGGACCTTCACGGAGAAGTTCGCTAACACGACAATCGGTGGAGTGGCGACCAAGCACTGTTGGTACATTCCCGCCGATGGCACAGAAGGCAAAGCGTGCTAATGGTTTGTATGTGTATCAGCACTTTCAGATGCATTTACAACTGCGTAATTGATTGTTAATTACTGCAGGTTGCAGATTTCTACGTTTTTTATGTTCGCATTAGTTCCCATTATCTAACACCTTCGCATCCGATAAGAAAAACATGTATGCAAGCGGAGCGTGAGGGTATACATCCCTAGCACGCCTTGCCCTCTGAGCCATCAGCCGGAATGTACCAGCAGTGCTTGGTCGCTACACCGCCAATCGTCGTGTCCTCCCATTTCTCGGTGAACTTCCACTTGTTGTCCGATGTGTGATATTGAAGCTTCATCCAATCCTTCGACGCCTGCAGCGAGAAGAAACCGTACTCACCAATAGTGTACGACCATTCGTTCTTCACAAGACCGGCTGCATAAGGCTGAATAGTACTCACTTTGCCAGATTGTCGGCCACCACCAGCACCATTTTCGACGAAGTGGACCCCAATAGACTTTGCATAGTCGTGCTTCTCAGCATGAGTGTGGCCGTGTAGAAAGGCTCGAACGCCAGAGTTTTTCAGAGTATCAAACCACTTTTTCATACCAGGCTCAGCGTAGTGATCGTAGGGACTGTAATGGCTGTTAACGATCTTCCACGTTGCGTCAGATTTGGCTGCCAGCTTTGCCAGTTGAGCGCGCGATTCATTGCCCCATTCGGCAAATTTGGCTTTACACGTGTCGAACATGGCCTTATCGCCAGCAAAGCAGGTACATCCCGCGGGATGGCTCCGAGGGTAAGGCGTGCTAATGACCAACTTCGGTATGGCGTTGGATTTAGAAATAGCAACAAAACGATTCTAGTGTTGTTCGGCGCTCCCTCACCAAGAAGTAATGTTGGTCAAGCAGTTTTTAATAATGCTGACTGTTATTGTTCTAGTCTTAACGATTATGGTCTTACTTGGCTAGCCGCGGGCCTTCAGCCCTAGCTTAGTTTCTGCGTTGCGTGCCTTCGCGTGTAAGCAATACTGAAAAAGTGTTGGGTGGAAACTAGCATAAATATGCGTGATAAGCCATCAAAATCTAGCTATCGGCCTTAAACAAGGGAACTTGTTAATACACGAATTGCAGCCGATGGCATTAATCGTCTAAAACTTGTAAGATATAAAAAAAAAAAAAACATGATAATACATGTACCGAATGCTTTAAGTACGTA